CTCTGCGGATCAGATTCAGCCGACTCAGCCTTACAGGGCCACAGACCAGGTGGCACCCAGCCCCCCGTCCCCCGACCCCCCTCCTGAAGCCACGCACATGCTCATATTCCAGCAGCAACCACACCAGTGGCTTCTGGAAGCTCAGTGGCTTGGGGATCTTCTAGACAGAGAGCATCTCGCCTGGGGATTCTGGCGCACCCCGAGTTCGACGCATCGGAGGACAGAGATCAGGCTTCCTGTGTCCGGAATTTGTACCGAACGTCGATTTTCTTTACGGAACGCTTAATCATCCCTGTGTTACAACAGAGCCAAGGACATTTTGAAAAGATGGGGGGACACATTTGGGTTTTAAGCACCCAAGGACTGAGTGGACTGAACGGAGCGTCAAGCACAAACGTGTGTGCGGACGAGGGGCCGCCCAGGCGGCTCCGTCGGTGAAGCGTCCCACCCTGGGTTTCAGCTCAGGTCAGGATCTTGCGGATCGTGAGTTCGAGTCCTGCGTCGGGCTCTGCGCTGACATCACAGCTTGGGATTCTCTCTCTCTCTCCCTCTCTCTGCCCCCCACCCCACTCCCCAGCTCATGCTCTTTCTGTCTCTCAAAATAAATAAACTTAAAAAACAACAGCCATGTGGGGGTGGCACGAGCCGGCTCAGGGGCGCCCAGACCGCACAGGAAGCATCCCCCCCGGGCGGGTGGGTGCCCGGGGCCTGTGATGACGCGCTCAGCGCCCTGCACGCTGCCTGCGGGGGCGCCCGTGCCGACGTTAAGCAGGTGCCGCGGCGCTGCCTCCCAGCCTCCAGAGTCACCTCCTGACCCGGGCAACAGCAGAGCCACACGTAGGGGACCCCACCCCCTAGGCAGAGAATGAAAAGGAGGAGAGGGCAGGGAGTGACGTGCCCAAGGTCGCCAGCAGAGGCCGCCCCGCAGCCCAGCCGGTTTCCCCACATCCATTCCAGCGACTCCGCTCCCTCACCACGGGGATGCTGAGTGGGCGTGGCCTCTCTGGTGCCAGGCTCCTCCCCGAGAAGCCAGGCGTCCTCACCTGCCCATCGCGCGTTCCCACAGGCCCTCCCTCCTCGCAAATTCCACTCCTGCTCCTTGGGGGAGAGGGCCACACCCGCTGGTCTCACGCAGAAAACGCCCAATTAGCAAAATCGACCTCTGAAAGCCCGTGCCTTCGTCCCAGCTCGGGCTCATGGCCCACCTCGTGCACAGATGAAACCAGCCTCCGCGCCCGTCAGCAAGAATCCTTCTATTTGTGCGAACTATTAAGTGGAAAGAACAATTTGTAGCTTCAGTGAAACCTGGAGTCTTGAGCAAAATCCAAATGCAGCAAAACCCGATTTCAAGCAAAGTCACATTTCATGAGGCATTTCTCATGGGCAGTAAAGGTAGAGGGTGTCGGCGCTAAGAGACCATTGGGGCGTTGATTTCCCCCGTCTTAGGACAAATGGGGGGCTTTTGCATGCTAATGTGTCCTAATGCCCGTCCTTTAGGTGTGCCCCAGTCTCCTTGTGGCCAAGGTGACCAGTTGCGTTCAACACATCATTTAAAAAAGACATTTTTTTTAATGTTTATTCATTTTTGAGAGAGAGAGAGACAGATTGCAAGCTGGGGAGGGGCAGAGAGAGAGGGAGACACAGAATCCAAAGCGGGCTCCAGGCTCCGGGCCGTCAGCCCAGAGCCCGACGCAGGGCTCGAACCCGCGAACCGCGAGATCCCGACCTGAGCCAAGGTTGGAGGCTTCACCGACTGAGCCACCGGGGTGCCCCTCAGCACATCATTTTAATGCAAGACCTGGGAGAAGTTTCTAAACAGCAGGTGCCTGATGCTGCTGATTTGCTCTTGCTGCTCTGGGGGCTGATGCTGACCAGGACGCCCGAACTTTGACAGTGGTGATGTGGCTTACTGAGTGCTGGCAACCACGTTTGCTCAGCTATGTTGATGTAGCTTCCCAACTATTCACGAGGATTTACGTCCTCCACTCCTGGAGGGGGGCGGTGAGCAGGGCAGAGGTGTGCATGCACCTGTGTGTGTGTGTGTGTGTGTGTGTGTGTGTGTGTGTGCCTTGCTGATACTTTCAGAAGCTGTAACCCTGCATATACCCTGAGGAGTCCAATCTTTCTGCAGAGTTTGTCGGTCAAAACCGTATGTAACACGCTCCCAGTGACAAGATGGTGGTGACAGAACAGATGGGTGTTTGCCAGGCGTGAGTGTTCCGGGCTTTTCTGTGTTGTTCTCTATTCTGTCTGGCTGGCAAGTACACGAGAGATACCGTTTCTAGCACCGCGAGAGACCAGCACACCTGACAGCAGGTGGGATCCAAGGAAGGTGTGTGCCTGCATTCGGTAAGACGTGGTCACCGGGGTAGCGGGGCGAAGGGCTCACGAGAAATCTAGGATTGCCCGGTTGGTTTTGCAACTTCCTCGTAACCTCAAAGCATCAAACTATTTTAAAATGAAAACTTATTTTTAAAAAATACTGCAGTGTTCTGTTTCCTTCCAGAGGCAAAATTCTTACTTTGCCTGGTATTTGCATCCATATCGCTGACGGGGAGAGTGACGTTGATGCATCTTGCTTTGGGGTGTGTGTGTGTGTGTGTGTGTGTGTGTGTGTGTGTGTGTGTGTGTTTAGGCAATATCTATAAATTTCTCACAACAAAGGACAAAATATACCTCTTCCCCCCCCCATAAGGGGACTCCTTTCTACGCCTCCATCCTTCCAATAAAATAATCATATTTTGTCTGGGTCCATATTCGGTGTTTAAGATATTATAAGCATGTGTGCTAATCACAGTAAAGCCAAGTATGAAATTCTGATCACGTGGCATCTTCTGAGTGATGATTTCTTATCTTCAGATTTAAAAACTGGTCCGGTTTTATTCCTTCCCTTCATTTTCTGTATATTGAGCTCTCGTTCATTCCCAAACGCTTAGCTGACTGTCTGGATCTCCTCCCGGAGCTTTCATCCCCACCAGATTCCTTAGGAAAATGTCCATTTCCGGACGGCAAGGCCGCCAGATTCTCCTCCTTGCTGGGGCCCCCTGTCCTCTGCGGCCGCCTTCCCTCTGTGCACCTGTCGTGCATGGGATCACGTGTTTCCTGCGCCTCTGACGTCTGACATCCTTCTGGGTTTCTCCCTCGCTTGATGGAGCACATCTCCAGGTAGCTTTCTGAGCAAGGATGTAGGAAGTAAATTGTCAGAGAGCTTGCATATCTGGAAAGACGGTCTTTGGAATCAGGCTGGGTATAGAATTCGAGGTTGGGAATCACTCCCCCTTTGAGTTTTGGGCTATTTTCCATGGTCTCTTGGTTTCCAGAGTGGCTGTCGTGAGTTCTGAATCCGTGCTTGTCTCTGACGCTTCTGTCTCTCTGGAGGAGTGCGGAACTCACTCTCCCGTACTGTCGACATGTGCCGCTGCTGTGCCTGGGTGTGGGTTTGCTCTTTCTGCCTCTAAGGACAAATCTCCTCTATCCACCAGCCAGCCAGTCTATGCCTTTATATTTCTGCTATAATAGTTTTAATTTCCAAGTGCTCTTTTTTTTTTTTTCTGGACGTTTTTAAATAGCATTGTGTTTTTGTTTCATGATTGTGGAGTATTGTCTGATCTCCCTGTGAATATGAATGATTGTTTTTTTTTTTTTTTTTAAATTATGGTCTTTCCCATATTGGCTCTATTTTGTGTAGATTGCTTTTTTTTTTTTCTGTTTGTCTGTTTGGGTGTCTGTAATCACGTAGAGACTTTTCTCAGTGCCCAGTAGCTCCAGTTTGCTCCTATAAGTGATTGGGGGCACACGGCCGTTGGGAGGTCTGAGCCCAGGCACCCTGGCTTGCTGTTTGGAGGAACCCCAGTGTGAGCATTCACTCCCGCTTTGGGGCTGGGCCTCCGAGTCCTCAGGCCGCTTCCCCGGTGTGATCCCCGCTGACTCTCACTTTTCCCACCGACCGCTGGTGCCGCGAGTGGAAATCCTGCTCCCAAATTTGCTCGCGTCAGACCTCTTTCCCGTTCCAGAATCCGTGGCAGCTGGGCGTGTCCCCTCCCCACCTCGTGGGCCTCCGTTCTCCCGTGAGCGGGATTTGGGGGAGAGGACAGGCAGGCGGTCGCGTTCCATCTGCTACTTTTCTCCTCGGGATGTCGACGAGAGCACTGAGGTTCAGAGGGGCCGAGTCGGCCCGGAGAGGAAGGCTTCCTTTGTTTCAAGCCCTAACTTAGTGCACTTGGGTTGGCAGCCTGCCTGGAGGAGGCAGCTACATGGGAGCAAGTGTAGCAATAATGGACACTTATTAAGTGCTTGCTGTATGCTTCACCCTATTCTAATCTCTTTATAGGCATTAAGACATTTCATCATTCCGCTTTATTAGCAGATCCATTTTGGGGGTAGGGCGTGAACTGAGGCGCAGAGAGGGCGTGGTTGGGCCCAGACCACACAGCTACAAAGTGGTGAACCCAGGGTGTGAGCTGGGAAACCCCAGCACTATGGACCCTCCGGACTGATGAGTCTGTTGTGGGGATCGTGCCGGGCATTGTAGGATGTTAAACTGCATCCTTGGCCTCTCCCCCCACCCCCAGGCAGCGCACCCCCACCCAGTGGCGACAACCGGAAATGTCTCCTGACCTTGCCACCTGCCTCTGGCAGGACACCAGCCTCCCCAACAACCACCAAATGAGAACAACTGGCCGAGGCAGACTGACGGTCCCCCTGAACGCTTTATGGGGCTACGTCTCTGTGTCCGGGGGGACAACCAGGGCCCCCCTACCCTCACCACGGACCCGGGCCTCCGGATCCGCCGTTCTGGAGCCCGTGGCCCCTTCCCCTTGCACTGTCTCCGCCCACCCCGGCGTGACCCCTCTGGAGCCCTCGGTCCGTCTCTGCACCTGCCACGGGAACGTGCGCGTGAACGCGGAGCGGGCGATCGCAGCACAGTGGGGCTCGGGCACGTTTGCAAAGGCCGGGTCACTAATGCCGTGGGTCTCTCTCGCCTGTCTTCCTGCCCGCAGAGCCAAGGTGAAGAAGGGGGTGAACATCTTGGGCGCTCAGACCAGCGAGCCCCGGCAGTGGGACGTCAAGCAGGAGACGGGCAGCGGCGGGAAGCACACCACCGCCACCCTGCTGTGCCAGCGCCGGGCGCCCAGTGCGCGCAACAGGTAAGTGCGCACCGCGCGGGCCCGCACTGACCCCGGCTCGGCGGAGCTCTTACACCCTCGGCCCAGAAAGCTGGAGGCACCCGCCTTGACTGGCAGGACCGTCTGGCAGCTCCTGGCGGGGGCAGCTGCGGCTCTGGTCCCGAGCCTGCGGTTCTGGCTTGGGCGCAGAGACCTGTCGCCAAGGTTCGCCCGGCCTCCCGGCCCCCGGGCATTCCATCCACCTAGGCTCAGGTCCCGCGCGGCGTCACCTCCCCCTTGAACTCCCTACGTGATCAGAGGCTGCCTCCTAAGTGCGCATCCTCTGCACGGAGGGTGTGATGTTTTGCCCCTTGGTAAGAAACGCGGATCCGGTCTTCATCGCTGTTCCCGGCACAGAGCTCCTAAGAGCCTTAGAATTTCCCGAGTGACGAGAGGAACAAAGGTGGTCTTTCCTGGGTTAATGAAGTGACTTTTGGAAAGCACCGTGGTCACCCCCCCAAACCACCCCAACATCTCCCGGGAGGGCAGACAGGCTGGAGGTTGCATTACCAGCGGCCAGTGACTTAATCAACCTTACCTCTGTAGTGAGGCCTCTAGAAAAACCCTAGAGAAAGGGTGTCAGAGAGGGTGCAGGTGGGTGAGCCCCTGGCACTCGGGGCGAGTGGTGCCCAGAGAGAGCATGAAGGTCTGTGCCCCCTTCCCGACACCCATGTGTCTCCTCAGTGTGGTTAATAAAGTTATTAACATCCTTTAACCCGGTCAGTAAGGGTTTCTCTGCATTCTGTGAGCTGCTCCAGCAAATCAGGCGAGCCCAAGGAGGGGGTCACGGGAACCTCGGGCTTATAGCCTGGACCAGTGACCGGCACCTGCAATGGGGGGGGACAGTCCTATGGGATGGAGCCCCTCACAGCGGGGGGGGGGGGGGAATGTGACGCCACCTCTGGGTGGACGGGGTCAGGATCGCATGGCACCCGAGGATCCCAGCTGGTGTCGGCGAGCTGCCCCGGGGGGGAAACACACGCGTCGGAATTGATGTCTGAATCGTAAAGGATTAGGCCCAGTCTTCAATGAGGAAGGATCTGAAGATGGGGTGACAGTCGGTGGCGATCGTGTGTAAGGACGTGATGCTGTGTGACATTCTACACGGACATCTGGATTACTCTTTGATTGTTTTCTGCATATAAAAACAATACATACTCCTTTTAGAGTATTTTTTAAATTTATTTATTTTGAGAGCAGGGAAGGGGCAGAGAGGGAGGGAGAGGGAGAATCCCAAGCAGTCTCTGCACCATCAGCACAGAGAGAGACCGATGTGGGGCTCAAGCTCAGGACCCTAGGATCACGACCTGAGCCGAAACCAGGAGTCGGACGCTGGACTGACTGAGCCTCTCAGGCGCCTCATAGAGTATTTGTGAAGCACAGTTATGCAAGGAAAAAACGTTAAATAATATATCAGTACCCTGCCACCCAAGGATAACCCAGTGCTAATAAGTCGGTTCATTTCCTCCCAGCATTTTATACGTACAATAAATGTGCAATCGGTTTATTTATCTTACAAATCTGGTATCATAATCTCTACAGGTTTTAGGATACTTTCATTTCTATTGTAAACATTTTCTCTTGACATTAAATTGTCCTCAGCAACGTTTTAACGGCCTCACAATATTCTGTCATATAGATTTAACATTCCGTCAATAGCCATACCCATGTCTCTGGACATTTCCACTGTTCTTTTTATAAACAATGCAACAATAAACTACCGTCCACATAAAGCTTTATCTCCTTCTCTTTTCACTTAAGGTGGCTTCTTAGAATCAAAAAGTTTGAATCATTTTTAGGGCTCCTGATACCTTCTCTTTGTGTATTTTCTTGAAGAGAGCAGCACTAAAGGAAAAGAATAGCCCCTCACCAGGCACGTTTTCTTAAGTGAACGCTACAAGACTGCCAAGGAAAATAACGCAAATTCTCTACTTTGTGTGGAAACGCCCAGTTCTTTGATCGCAGACCCTGTGCTCGGTCCTCCCTTTCACGGGTAGCCAGCGAAAACATCTGGTGCCCCGAGCGGCTTCCAAACAGCAGCCTCTTCCACAATTGCCCCCAGGAAGGACCGTTAGTACATCCTGCAGTTGAGTAGGCAAGTTAAGAGCGGAAGTGTTCATTAGCAGTGAAGTCAGGTGTGGAAATAGTCCTTCATGACACCATCAGGAGCCTCAAAGTGAGGGAGGTGCGCCCGCCCTGTGCTGGCACGTCCTCACGGGTCCCTGAGGCCACGCTGTTTGTTCTGCGTCTTCCAGAAAGCGCGCTCTGGACTCAGGTGTGTTTGCCGAGAGGGTGAGCCTTTATTCGAGGTGTTTGTTGCAAAGCCTGTTTCCCAGCACACCGCCGATGGGCGTCCTGTGCTCACTGCCTCCCTCGCGGAGAGACGACTTTCTGCAGAAATCCTTGGTCGGTTCACCTGTGCTCCATGCCAGGCTGATGTCCGCTGAACACGCTGACTGTGGTCCAGACCACCCCCATCAGCGACCTAAATGCTGCAGACCTGGCCCCAGAAAGACCACACTTCAAATAAGGGTGTTTGTTGACGGGGAAGGTCCAAGGGCTCGCTTCCTCTGCCCGTGGAGCAAAGGCCAAGCATACCAGTCATCTACTGCTGTGTCACAAACTACCCCCGAGTTTCAGGCACCACATGCTCATTATCTCGTGGCCTCCGTGGGCCAGGATTCAGGCACCTCTGAATCGGGGTCTCTACCCCAGGGTCTCTCACCGAGCCGCTGTCTACGTCTCCATCGGGAACCAGGGTCTCATCTGAAGGCTCAGCAGAGACAGTATACTTCCAGGATCAGGTGGCCATTGGCAGGACTCTTGCCTCAGTTCCTCGAGGCTGGCAGGACTGGGGGTCTCAGTTTCTTGTTCCTTCCTGGGCGTCCTTCTCCGTCAGGTCACGTTGGCAACGCGGTCAAGTTCTCAACGCCCCCAGCTGTGTGCTCTCCTGGAGGTCGCTACGCAGCATTACAAGGTAGAGCCTTCATCCTTCCCCTCGAACACGGGTGACGTTTGTGACCAGCTTGCTGTGAGCACAAGGGTCGCCCTGTGGCTTGGAGAGAGCTGGGTCACAAAAGAGCCAACAGGCAGGCAGCCCCATTGCCCCGAGGCCTCCAGTTATCCCGCGTGGAGAGACCCCAGGGAGGACCCCGCACCAAGGGAGAGGATGCGTCCAGCCAGCCCCACCCAGCCCAGCCCTTCTGGAATTCTTGAATCACAGACACAGTGATCGTTTCATGCCGCTAGGTTTGCAGGGCAGTTTGTGGCAGAGCAACATGTAACCAGAAGACGGGGTGCTCCCGGGAGGGTTGAGGTGCTCCCACCCCCTACAGGTCCTCAGGGCCAGGCGAGCGTTTTAACCCCGTTCTCTGGGGTCACCTCCCAGCGCAAGGAACAGTTGCCCGAGTGAGGAGACGTGGACACGGCTTGTCTTCTTACCCCAAAGAGCCCTGTCCGGTTCCCAGCCCCTCCCCGCCTCTAGAGGCCTGCTTCTCGGCTTTATGCACCCGAGCCTCATGGAAGGCTTTTTCTGGCCAGAATGAAGGGTTTCTATTTTCTTCCTTCCATTACGGGCTGACATGTGGTCCCCGGTCCAAACCGAAAACGTGGAAAGTAAATATATCTCTCAGCATCTGCCCTGAGATGACTTATTAGAGCACATTAAGAAATCTCTGGAGCTCTTGCCAGACCAGTAATGGACTTTTAGGGGAGGCTGTGGCCTCCGACCCGAGCAGGTGGCTTTCAGAGCCCCTGATGTTGCCACGGAGACCCCCTCTTACGCTGAGGTGCGGGTACAGCTGTCTCCCCGAGGCGGTCGCCCTGTCACTGGCCCTCAGAGAACAGCCCTGCGGCCCTGCAGCACCCCACGCTCTGGGCACAACACCCGACACGGTCAGAGTCCTCCAACTCCCCACCCCCACCTGGGGCTGCCGCGAGATGCTGGCATTCTCCACTGTGACTCCTTTAAATTGAGGGATCCGGGTCCTTCCCACACTTGACCGGTCTTTACAAGAAAATGGTGAACGGCAGTGGGAATGAACCACAGCTGCCCATTGAACACCGTGTGTTTGCACTGCTCGGTCCGCTCACAGGCATGTCTTTTTCCGTAAACAACAGCACGGGACTGTCAACGTGTTCTCTCCTTAGGACTTTCTGAGTGGCGTTTTCTTTTCTCTAGCTTGCTTTGTTGTACAAATGCCGGAGAGAATACAGAGAACACAAAATAGGTGTCTGTTGACTGTTTACCTGATGAGTCAACGGCAGGCTCTTGGTAGTTAAGAATGGGGAAATCAAAAGTTATTCGTGGATTGTTGACTGCGCGGGGGGTCAGCGCCCCAACCCTCTCGTTGTTCAAGGGTCCATCATGTTTCCGTTTTTAAAAACAATGTATTTTCGTGCCCGAACGGTAAAAGCTTGGGTCATGTAGTGCCTCCATCGTCCCGCGTCCCGTGAAGCAATATGGCGCCGTGAGTAATAGCTTGGCCTCTGGAGCCAGCCAGGCAACTCGGATTCAAGTCTCAGCTCTTCTACTTGGGACCTGTGTGATTTTGTGCAAATTAGTCCGTTTCCTTGGGTCTTCTCTGAAAGTGAGATGGTAAATACCCGCGGTGCGTTTGTCGCTCATGGACATTGAAGATGTCAGTCTACGGTAAGCGTCCACAGAGAGTGCTGGTTCTTGTGTTTTGCACGGAGCGAAGCTTCCTTCAGTTATTCCTGACATTTTTACGCAGTGGCCCAGACTGCCTTGCATTGTCTTTGTGACAAGGCATGGCACTCTTTCCCGTGGTGGCACATGCCAATCACAGAGCCACCCTGTCCTGTTGGCTTGGTCTGGGCCCCCAACATCGCGCTGGAAATCCATCTCACTCACTTTCCTCCCCGTCTCCCCCGCTGACCCTCTTGGCTCACTCTTTTCTTGGAGTTCAGTAGCTGGTTGGCTCTGGGCTTTGTGCCCACCCTCAGGGCAACCTGACCGTCTA